GGAACACTGGAGTATCTGAAACAGCGGCACAGAGCGTTGGAGATCACTTGCAGTTAAGTTGCACTAATGCCGAACAGTTTACTATTGTAAGTTCTCAGGTGAATGCAGGATTAATGCCACTGCCCTGTATTCCCCAGGTCGGCTTTGACTGTGAGAATGTACCGTTACAGCTGGATCAAAGCGGTGGACAGAACCACGTCCAGGTTGATGAAGGAGAAGAAACCGCTTCAACCCTTCTAGCACTTTAATTTGCCTTTCCAAAATTCGAAACTGAGTTCGGAGCGCCTCAGCAGTCTGAAGATTTTTCTAATTACAAGCCACACTTTTCGTTTAGATAGAGCTTTTTGCGTTAGGAATAAATTCGGCCTTACCGCCCATTACGAAATTCTGCCTCTAGATCCGCGTCGCCCGTAAAATCGCGGGTGCCACAAAAATTTGCATTTACTAGCGACACGTTTCTATAGGCAAGATTTCGTACGGTTTTGGACCTTTTACAAGTTAGATTCAACTGTTCGTTTTCCGTTCATAAGGAACCACCTTAACAGTATGAAGTTAAAGACGACTAGCTGTTCAAATGTATTTCCGTGTAAACTGAACGAAAATTCGTCCAGTGCCATGTGAACGTTACCTTAGTCAAACATCTCTCAGGCGACAATATTGAGGGTCTCTCGTGGGATCTCAACGAATTCGGAGAGGATGTTATAAATTCTCCCTTGTCACCTTAAGATTGGTATGTTTGGGGGTGCAAATGTTGCAAAAAACCTTTGGAATACAAAAAGCATACTCAATTTTAATTATATTCTTCAGCGTAGACTTTCAGATCAGACAGAGACGGGTTTGTATGCCTTGGACTCGAGTCTGCGGGGCGTCTGTTTTTTGCTATCTTTTTGTCGTAAAGACTCAAGTAACATTCCCTAAAAGAAATTTCGAATAATGAATTTAAGGAAGTGGCACAACCCGAACTGTAAGATGATAAGATTAAATATAGTTTTTACTATTAAATCATCGCGTTGAAACCACGCTCGCTTCTGTCTCGTTTCTGTTTAACTGAACTTCATTTCTTTCCTGCGCATGCCCAGAATGTATTCTATTTTTATTCCCATCCACAGTGCTGTTGGCGGGCGTGGTCATTTTAACATTTTCCATCTTTTTGCGGAAGTAGTGTATATACTCTATGTCGTTAAAGAGCATCTTTTCGCATAAATATCGATTATACGATGAAACGTTCGGATTGAGAGTGATTTTCTCCACATTTACTGATCCAAACCCAAGACAGTCTCGTTCCATTTCTTCATGTTTAGATCTAAAATCGCGAAGCTCATCAATAAAATCTTTTCCTTGAAAGTGAATTTCTTTCCAAAGTGTGTCGTTAAAATATTGATACAACATGAAGTCAGCTTTATTCCATCGCTGAATTTTTTCCACAAAGCCGCTGCTCATCATTTCGTTCAGCGATGGTTCTCCATGACGTTGATAATGAAATTTGAGATATAAAACATCATCGAGTTGCCAACAAAGTTTTCTCTTCATCAATACAAGAGATTCATCCAGGTACTCATAAATTAACACCAGAGTGAATTTGTCGTCGATGTCTATTATTGCGTCTTTCACTACTTCAGGTTTATGATAGTCTGTTGTACGAAGACCAAGGTCGAAGAACATTCCATTCTTGATGAGATTCAGAGAATCCTAAAACAGTAACAAAGGATACTGTTGTTATCGTGATATCAAATTGACCAACTAGTTGGAATAAAAAAAATTTGGCTAGTTAAAGCTAGACTTTAATCCTTTTTTGCCGCCAAAAAGCCCGCGCTTTTCGCTACTAGTGGGCTATAACATATAGCCTAGTAGTAGCTCAACCAATCAGAACGCAGCATTGATAATAGATCACTAGTTGCATTTTACTAATTCACTATATTCATGCACTTCCACTAAACTTCTTTCAGGTGAATGCAGGATTAATGCCACTGCCCTGTATTCCCCAGGTCGGCTTTGACTGTGAGAATGTACCGTTACAGCTGGATCAAAGCGGTGGACAGAACCACGTCCAGGTTGATGAAGGAGAAGAAACCGCATCAACCCTTCTCGCACTTTAATTTGCCTTTCCAACATTCGTAACTGAGTTCGGAGCGCCTTAGCAGTGTTAGAAGTTAAACCTGAAGATTTTTCTAATTACAAGCCACACTGTTCGTTTACGTAGAGCTTTTTGCGTTAGGAATAAATTCGGCATTACCGCCCATTACGGAATTCTGCCCATAGGTCCGCGTCGCCCGTAAAATCGCGGGTGCCACAAAAATTTGCATTTACTAGCGACACGTTTCTATAGGCAAGATTTCGTACAGTTTTGGACCTTTTGCAAGTTAGATTCAACTGTTCGTGTTCCGTTCATAAGGAACCACCTTAACAGTATGAAGTTAAAGACGCCTAGCTGTTCAAATGTATTTCCGTGTAAACTGAACGAAAATTCGTCCAGTGCCATGTGAACGTTGTGAACGTTGACTTAGTAAAACATCTCTCAGGCGACAATATGGAGGGTCTCTCGTGGGATCTCAACGAATACGGAGAGGATGTTAAAAATTCTCCCTTGTCACCTTAAGATTGGTATGTTATGCGGTGCAAATGTTGCAAAAAACCTTTGGAATACAAAAAGCATACTCAATTTTAATTATATTCTTCAGCGTAGACTTTCAGATCAGACAGAGACGCGTTTGTATGCCTTGGACTCGAGTCTGCGGGGCTTCTGTTTTTTGTTATCTTTTTGTCGGAAAGACTCAAGTAACATTCCCTAAAAGAAATTTCGAAAAGTGAATTTAAGGGACTGGCACAACCCGAACTTTAAAATAATAAGATTAAATATAAGGTTTTTACTCTTAAGTCATCGCGTTGAAACCACGCTCGCTTCTGTCTCGTTTCTGTTTAACTGAACTTCATTTCTTTCCTGTGCATGCCCAGAGTGTATTCTATTTCTATTCCCATCCGCAGTGTTGTTGGCGGGCGCGGTCATTTTAACATTTTCCATCTTTTTCCGGAAGTAGTGTATATACTCTATGTCGTTAAAGAGCATCTTTTCGCATAAATATCGATTATACGATGAAACGTTCGGATTGAGAGTGATTTTCTCTACATTTACTGATCCAAACCCAAGACAGTCTCGTTCCATTTCTTCATGTTTAGATCTAAAATCGCGAAGCTCCTCAATAAATTCTTTTCCTTCAAAGTGAATTTCATTCCAAAGTGTGTCGTTAAAATATTGATACAACATGAAGTCAGCTTTATTCCATCGCTGAATTTTTTCCACAAAGCCGCTGCTCATCATTTCGTTTAGCGATGGTTCTCCATGACGTTGATAATGAAATTTGAGATACAAAACATCATCGAGTTGCCAACAAAGTTTTCTCTTCATCAATACAAGAGATTCATCCAAGTACTCATAAATTAACACCAGAGTGAATTTGTCGTCGATGTCTATAATTGCGTCTTTCACTACTTCGGGTTTATGATAGTCTGTCGTACGAAGACCAAGGTCGAAGAACATTCCATTCTTGATGAGATTCAGAGAATCCTAAAACAGTAACAAAGGATACTGTTGTTACCGTGATATCAAATTGACCAACTAGTTGGAATAAAAAAATTTTGTCTAGTTAAAGCTAGACTTTAATCCTTTTTTGCCGCCAAAAAGCCCGCGCTTTTCTCTACTAGTGGGCTATAACATATAGCCTAGTAGTAGCTCAACCAATCAGAACGCAGCATTGATAATAGACCACTGGTTGGATTTTACTAATTCACTATATTCATGCACTTCCACTAAACTTCTTGTGATGCTTCTCAATAAATTAAAATTCATACTTGGCTCTGTGGCTTGGGGGAATAAAACAAAAGAAATGTATTATTCATATGATTTCTTTTGTTTTTTTTCCCCCAAGCCTCGCAGCCAAGTATGAATTTTAATATATCGTAGTTGGTTTATTGTCAAAGATTTGTTGCGCCGTTTGAATTTGAATGACCGAACCTTAAATCTCTTGTGCTGGATGGCTCTAGTAATGTATTTGCCCGGATTTTCCAAGAAGACCATATGAGGATGTGGCACGCCCTCCATTTCCAAAACCTCCGCGAACTCTAGGTTACGGAATGTCACCTCGAAATGCGACATGGGATCGCGGACTATAGTAATAAAGGCGGTGCGAGGCGGCATTATCTCATCCATGACGTCACCATTAAATCGTGCATGATTGCAAAGTATATTGGGAAGGGCGCCATCAAGTAACATGATGTCGACGTATTTCCAGTGAAATCTTGATGGCCAATAAAATGTCGACAGACCCCCGCTAGGCAGAGCTACGCGCAGGCCCCGTAGATCAGCGAATCGATTGAGAATGTTGGTGATGACGTCAGATCCGGTGAAATGAGTCTTTAGAAGAAGTACGTTTTGAATTGGCTTCTTACAGCTTCGTATTCTGTGAAACGAAACCAAAGTATCGAATACATTATTTACATTATTACAATAATCATTTTGTACTCTCTTTAATTGTACCAAAAGGCTCCTATGATCGACAGTAACGTGATTTCTTAACCCCCACCCCCCTCCCCTCTAAGCAATTAAGAGGCTTATCGCTTTATGAAGTCCCTTCCCTAAGACACGATAATATAAAGTGAATGAAGGTCTTAATCTTAATCAACGTGATCGAACAAGTTTAAGACGTTTGTTGATGGTCCGGCCGTGATTTGAACCCGCCACCTTCCGCCAAGCAGTCCTACAATCCGTCAACTGAGTCAACAGGTTGTCCGTTAATTATAAGACCCCGTTCATTTGAAGAAAAGTTGTCCCGGAAAACAGGGTCACCTTCCCAGTCGAGCCACCTTTAGTGAGCGTTTATATGACACAAAAGGTGACCCCTTTGCCCGAGCTAACAGCACTCACGCATGCTCTGTTTGTCCAGTCAAAATGCTTATATGACCCGGCTGGGCTGCCATCAAATAGGGGTGACCCAGAAAGGCGGCTCACCCTTGAAGAGGGTCCGCAAAAAAGGTTCTTCAATCCCGTAATCCCGACCCAAAATTTCGGGCACTCCCGTAATCCCGAGGTTTATGTTTGGCGTCTCACCTCCCGTGCATACTCTCAATCCCGAATCTCGCCACCTGTTGGCTACCCTCCTTGTAGCCGGAACAACGTTTTATTTCTCATGTAAACAGTTCGCCACGTTTTGTAAGGAAATGTAGGAAAAGTTGGCTCACGCACCCACGGTAATTCAAGTAGCGGGTGACTATTCTACCCAGGATACCTTTTCTCCGTATAAATGGGATCAAAGAAAGAACTGTAAATTATAAGACAGTCAGACAAATTGTAAGACAAAAGTCACTCTTACTTTCTGTTAATTTCTTTCTTTGTTGGCTCTGGGCCATCGTGCCACATCACATAATCGTCCACTCCTTCCAGCTCAAGATACCGCCCTTGCCCGTAGTCTAGTCCAGGATCCTGTGCCACGGATAACAGAAGGTCTTCCTTAGTTAAATTAATCCTTTGTTTCTCATGCATGGTTGAAATACTCTTTTCCATTGTCGTCCTGCTGTAGTCAATGTCATCTCTCCATGCCCATCCTTCAGCTATCCGAAATCTAAACTCGAAAATAAGTAATATTAATAGTACTGAGTGGAGTACGTACAATTCAGTGAATAATCGGGCGAGTAATTTGAAATCGGCAGAGCACGATTACCCCTGAATTATACGATACGAAGTCCTATTATCAATTAATTTAGTAAATAACAAAATGCCAGAATGTCAGTCTTGGAATATTTATTAGAGGGTCTTAATGGGGTTAACCGATAGGCGTAAAACGGCCAAAAATTTAGTCGATAGGCGTAAAAATTGAAAAATTTTAACCGTTAGCCGTAAATAGGGTAAAAAAAGTTAAGCGTAAAAGAAATTGTTCCCTAGATTTGCTACTTTTAAGGAAGGTACTAAACTCACTTATGGTTGCGTTTTTTATTTCGCGGCTAGTTTGGCTCCGTACGCACGTTAGGTAAAGCGCCTTTTAGGTGAAGACCAAGACCCATTTCCATTTCGGCCGCTCTCTCGGGGAACTTTTTTTTTTTT